TGTATTTCAGTAATTATTAATTGTTTTTTGTGATAAATGTATTTTCAATGATTATGTATAAATTTATTTTGTTTTGCTTTTTAACAGAAAACTTTTAATAATTATTAGAGATTAAACTACTATTGTTGGAAATTTTAAATTTAATTTATTGTACTTATTGTATTTATTATATTTTTGTTATAACTTATTGATTAATTTTTATTAGAGATTAAACTATTATTTGACTAAGTTAATATATTTTCAATACTTATTGTATTTTTGTAATTATTGTATTTTTTTCATTATCAATATATTTTCAATAATTGTGTATTTTTGCTATAAATTTTCAACAAATTATTGGAGATTAAACTATTCTTATTTATCAAAGATGAGACTATTAATTTAGCTGAAATTATGAGTGTTCATGAGTTGGATCAGTTCGGTCATAGGCTATTTGGCCAACCAAATTGACTTGGTCAAGTTGGGGAGTTGGTTAGCTGAAACCGATTGACCTTTTGTGAAATCTGACCCACTCAAGTTGTATGGGTTTGGGTCGATTATTTGGTTTGGTCAATTGGTTCAAAAGACTTAAACTTAAAAATTTAATTTAATTTTAGAAATTGTAATGCAATTATTAAAAAATAAATTAAAAATTTAGATTTATGATATAAAACATTTTAAACTAAGAAATATGAGAGATTTCTCACTTTTCCATATTAAAAATTATATTTAAAATATAAAATATTAATATATATCCATGGTTAGGTCATTTGATTTTGGTCGGTTTACAAATGACCAAAGTGAAATTGATCCAACTTGGTCAAATTGGGAATTTTTTGAACCAAAGCCGACATAAAATACTAGAAAAAGACCAACTCGGGTCGAGTTGATCGGGTTGGTCAGTTACATAAGTTTGATGAATAAACCTAACTGAAATTAATAATTGTTCTTTTTTAATTATGAAAAATTTATTAAAAGTATCATATAAAATATTAATAACTATTAATTATTTAAAAAGTTGAAAATATAAAACAATTGTATACTCTTATGTGGTTCTATTAGGGTCATTTACGAGAACACACCTTTAGGGATGGCAATTTTTCCCATCCCCAATGGGGACCTGACTTCCCTAACCCGATGGGGCCGGGGATGGGGATTGTTTTGGCGGGGCAGGGGCGGGGACGAGGATTAATAGGAATCCCCAGTTGGGGTCGGGGATGGGGATTAAGGTCCCCGCCCCGCCCCAACCCATATATTTTACAACTTATTTACTTAATCAACCTTTCATTAAGGAGTGTTTGTTTTGCCATTAGACCCATGATTTTTTATYCCAAAAATACCCTTAAAACTTTTTGTTTTGATTAAATTTATTAAGGGCAAAAATGGTATTTTTTATTTTTCATTTTCTTTTGATTAAATTTATTTGAATGAACATTAAGGTCAACACTGTAATTTTCCATTGTCATCTAATGGAAGATTAATTAAATTCATTGCAAATTATAAGTGGTGTTTTAGTAAAATGCTAACTATAGGGTAGATTTTAGTAAATCCATGAAACTATAAGAGATATTTTAATAAATGACCCTTTCTATTATTTAACTTTCGCTTAATAAATCCCTCACATGGGTCCCTGCTAGTATATTGATTAAAACAAGGATGAGTAGAAATTTTCTCATTTTTTGAATTTTTGAATTTTTTTAATTCATGTCATTTTCAAAACTATCGATTAGAAACTATTTTCCCAAAAAAAATCTTCCTAAAATCTCTCTCTCTCTCTTTCTCTCTCCCCCAATAACCTAAATAAACTAACATCTTAAAATTTCTCCTAAACAACTTCCCCCACTATCCCCAACTTTCTCCTAAGGTATCTCCAATTTAGTAGAATTTCTCTCCTAAATTATCTCTAATTCTTATTTATCTTCTCCCTCACATTTTATCTACATCTATCTAAAGAAAGTATGAATTAAAAATTTAAATATTCTAAAAAAATATTTAGTAACTTTAAAATATTTATTAAAAAGATAAAAATTTATTATAATTAATTTAATAATATTCATATTATTAATAATTATATAATTTTAAAAAATTCATCATGGAATTATGTACAAACAATATAAATTATAATTTTCTGGATTATTCAATCTAAATTTTATTCAAATAATAAAAATCTAACATTAAAAATGAAATATTATTTAAATATTTTAATAACTAAATATATTAAATAAAAAATATTAAAATTAATATTTTAAATCAATTACTAATATATTTTAAATAGTTTCTAAATAACTTTCAATTATAATAAATAGATTAAGATTTTAAATATTTAGTTAATTAACTAAATATTTTAAATAAAAAAATATTTAACATAACTAGATTTTAAATAGTTAAAATAACAAAATTATGTATTAATAGTACTATAATTTTATGGATTATTAAACTCAACAAGTAATTGGTATTTTAAAATTTAAATAATGATATTATTTCAATAAATAAATAACATTGTAAATAACTAATTTCATTTATACCAAATTAATAATTCTAGAAATAACTTTGAAAAAAATTATTGTTTATTAATAATATTTTTAAAAATTTAATATTTATTTATTATATATTTATCTATAATAAAATTAATAGTTAATGTATTTCAATAATTATTTATTTATTTTTCATAAATATATTTTCAATAATTATGTATAAATCTATTTTTGTTTTGTTATTTAATAGAAAATTTTCAAAAATTATTGGAGTTTAAGCTACTATTATTTAGATTTTTAAATTTAGTTTATTGTGTATTTCACTATAAATTTTTAATAATTATTAAAGATTAAACTATTGTTCACGAGTTGGTTCATTTTAGTTGTAGGTTGTTTGGCCAACCAAATCGACCTGATCTGGTAGGGGGGTTGGTCACTCAGGTTATATCTATTTGGGTCAATTTTTGGTTTGGTCGGTCGGTTCAAAATATTTAAACTTATAAAATTAAATTTGAAAATTAAGTTTAAATTAAAAAAAAAAATACAATGGCATTATTAAAAATTAAATTTATGATATAAACTATTTTAGCCTAAGAAATATTGGAATTTTTCCACTTTTCCGTATTAAAAAAATATATTTAAAATATAAAATATTAATATATATCTATGATTGGGTTGTTTGATTTTAATCAATTTAAAATGACCAAAGTGAAATTGATTCAACCGATTTGGTTTGAGAAATTGTCGAACCAAAGCCGAATATAAATACTAGAAATTGGGTTAGTGAGTTTCATTAGTTTGACTCAGAATGGCAACGAGGGGGGACGAGGAGCCTCTCCCCATCCATGTCCCCAGGAAAATCCCCATCCTTGTCTTCACGAGGATCCCCACTCCCCGTGATTCTTTATAATGCCAACTGTTATGTTTTTGTTTTTTATTTTATTTAAAATAAAAACAAAATAATTAAAATTTACAATCCTATTGTAAAAGATTCAAACATATTCATCCATATTTTAAAAATATTAACATATAGACATATATGCATATATGTACATATATATAAGCTATGAATATACATATATATATATATATATATACATACATATATATTAACGGGATCCCATGGGACGGGGATCGGGGTCCATGTGGGGCAGGAGTGCTCTCCCCGTCCCCACACCATCCCCACCAACGTGGATGTAAATTTCCTCATCTTTGTCCCCGCGAGGGGAAAATCATCCCCATCCTCGCCCCATTAATTATTGTTTTTTTGTATTATAAAAAAATTATTAAAAGTAGTATATAAAACATAAATGATTATTAATTATTATATAAAACAATTGTATACTAGGTCAGGTTATAGGGTCGGGTCAGGGTCAAGTATATTTGGTTTAGAGTTGGGTTAGAGTTTTGATTCTTCGACCCAAGTCAGGTTCGGCTTTTGGCTGACCCGCCCTGCCATGTCATGATACTTTGCATATATACCAAGTATTCTTGCAATTTTTTGACTTCTAACTTCATAGGCTTAAAGTTTATAATTTATTTATATGTTGATTTTGATTTTCTTCTTTTTTTTAAATAGAAAAAATAACACCTTAGAATCTATAAAACAATTTCCTTATTTAAATTAATGTATTTTAAGTCTTCAAAATGTGTTAAAAAATACATTTAAAACAATATGGGTCAAGTCATGTCAGAACCGGGTTAAATTTTATAGGGTCGGGCTTGGGAATCGTGTGTTTTTTAAGCTGAATCAGATCGGGTTCGAGTTGGAACGATGGAAAGTGATGTTAGGATTGAGGCAAAACCATATGAAACACAATATGTTGACATCCCTATGTATACTCTTACATGTTTCTAGTGTTTATCTTTAATTTGACAAATCACATGCCCACTAATTCATTATTAAATTAAAGCATCCAGACCAACAAGATAGGTAGAGGTGACCTCACCGATGAGCTCTATCAACGCAATCCCAAAATAATCTATTACACCTCTTCTTATTCAAAATAATTATAATAGTATGAATATTAATGTTCTAACTTCTAATCTATTAAAATGGTCACAAATTCGGTAAATTAGCGACCGTTAGGGCGACCCTGAAATACCGATATATGGTGATTAAGACTACACAGATCGGAGGGGAAATCTGTGTTTACACTATTCTAACATTCATTTGTAACCTTGTATTGGAAATATCTCCTTTAGGTATTCTCAATGTAAATCAATAAATACTGCTCAAATGGAGTTTGCCCCAAGTGAAGCCGAATTTGTGATTATAAGAGGAGTTTTGTCAAAATCCTACGGGTTGTTTGTCAATGTATAATTTTGCAAATTAACCAAAAAGAAAAAGATTTTGTTGATGCGTTTACTATTTGTATAATTCCTTGTTTTGATGGGCAAGTCAAAAAAGATGAATAGGCAGGTTTGTCTGCATTAAGCCAGTGCCAGTGAACCCCACGTGCATCTTGTCACCGACTCCAATGACTCATTAGCTTCGTCCCTGTAGGAGTCAAATCTGCATTAGCCATCCCTAAAACCACACCAAAATTATTAAGTCTAACGTGGCCGATTTCCAGTGCGTAGCTAACTGGAAATCGGATTTCCTTTATTGACAATTACCGAATTAAGTTGCGATGTGATCAATAAGATCTTAGGGTAAAGTAGTCCTACACAAGGGTCATTAAACACAATAATCTCTCTCTCTCAGACACACACACACACAACTACCCAAGATGAGTAGCAAGTATGTACACCGTATCAACATGAATCAATTAAGCACAGGAAATACCAATTCTAGTTGCTGTAAACCGTTCGGAGGTGGTTCTCCTTGGCAGTGAGAGTGAGTTGAACTCTGGAGAAACCCTGATCATCATGTTGTTGTAGTTCATACCCACGTCTGCAACCTCTGGAATTGTTGAAAGCGTATGGGATGGATCATAAAACGTGTACGGCGACTCGTGTTGTGGTCGCTCCGCTGCTCCATACATGGTGCCGGGATTCGGTTTTGATCGAAAAACTGATCGAAGAAATCTGTTGAGGGAGCGAGAAATCTTGGAAGATTTCTTGGGCACCGGCTGGGCCTGGGGTGGCCGAACTGGGTCGGATAACCGCGGCATAGACATGGTCCTAGAGGCGATGGCTGAGTCAAGATGGCGTTTGAATGCATTGAGCTCGAACGAATCGTAGAGTGAGCTACCACAATCCCAAATTGGTCTCTTCTGTTCTTGGGCTGCTTTTTCCATATTTTCTGCTGTGAGCTTCAGCTTTCAGAGAGCAGGAGGGAGGTAGGGGGATGATGATATAGAATTAATAAGACTGTGTAAGAATGGAAGGTTTGAGAGAAGAGAGAAGGTAGGTTCGTATTTATTGTAATGGCTTGGCCGGTGAAGGACTGAAACGCGCTAGCGACGACTAAAAGGGATGGGTAATTGGGTAGGAGATACCTTCCCCCTTCACATTCTCCTCATATTGACTCACACTCACCATTAAATTCCATGTGCTGTAAGACTGCATAAATTAATTGTTGGGACATAGAAATCTAGCTAATTCATTCATTTGAATAATGGAAATGGTTTAGTATTGGTTTTCCATCTCTAATCAATCTTTAATCCTTCGTAAAGTTGACATTGACCTGCCTCTGCAACTTCAGATGCATCCGTACCGTGCACAGTTGTGGGGTAAATGAATCCCACCGAATCAGTTGGTCGATCTCATCTCACACATCACCCCCATCGGCGTGTTTGATAGATAGGACAAAGGGCACGTTACCTGGTATATGTATGTGGTCTTATTTCTCTTTTATTCTTTTAAGATTGTTTGAATAAAATAGTATAAATAAACCCGGTGGGGTTTGCTTTGCACGGAATTAATGCTTGTAAAGAAAGGTGATTGGTTAAGGGCTTTAGTTGGAAAGCTATTTAATATTCTGTTCATCTCTCTCTCTCTCTCATGATTCATGAGCGATGGGATGACCGGATGAGGATGGAATTTTAATGCTTTCATGAGCTCCCTGCAAACACGGAAAGGACAGTTAAAGGGTGTTGAGTTGAGGTGATATGCCCACTTTTCCAAGCCATGGTTGTGGCTGCTATTCTCTGTTAAGCTGACTTTTCTTTTTCTTTTCTTTGTAAACACCCTGTTTTGGGGTTTCAATTATTCTTCAATCCTTTACACGCGTCTGGGTATCTGGACTCTGTGGTGGATTTTACAGGAATCTGACCATCTGAAGCAATAGAAAATATCCAATTGCTTGCTTTGATATGGCGACCAACGATTAGTATATTAATTATGATTTGTGCTCTGTTTCCGTATTTTTCTTCGTCCAAGCAAGAGGAAGAAGAAGTACTCCGTATCCTATTTCATCTCATCTCATGGAAAGTCTAGAAGCAGAGACGCGTCCGGGTGGAATGAATATCATCGACTATGAGTATGAGCCATGCATGGCCCACGAAGAGGGTTGTCGGCAATGAAGAATTTTAAGAGTTAAAAGAGTTATTACTTATTAGTGCCCTATGCCCGTGGCTAGGGTTGTCAATTGAATTGGATTTGATCTAATCCGATCCAGTCCGATGCAAGAATGGACCTAGTTCAATCCAGTCCATTGAATATTTTGGATTGATTCAGAAACTGTCCAATTTGTTCAAATTCTTGTTAATTTGAATTGATTTCAACTCAAATCTGGTTCATTGATATTTATGTTCTTATCTTTTATTCAATAGACCAGATATTAGCTCAATCCATCCAATATAAATTCATTATGGACAGATTGATCCATCCAGTCCGTCCAAATTCAATGTCTTGTTGGTCCTCGAATCCATCCAAATTGATTTTGATTTGTACAGAATTCAACCCAAAACCGATTCATTGACACCCCAATGGGAATGGGGTTGAGTGATTTAACAACTGGGCAGGTAATTAGTTCACTAATAAAGTGGAGCCCAAAGTAGAACAGCACATACTTCAACAAGTAGTTGGCGTAGAAAAAACAGAAATAGAAAATATAGAAACAGGACAAAAGGGGAATCAACAGTGTATACTATGACAATGTAAAGAACATAAGAAATGGGTCACCACCAAAAAAAGTGCTTTCAATAATGTTTAGACTTTAGATAAGCAAGAAAGCAAAAAAAAAAAAAAAAGAAAAAAAAAAGCAGGAAAAGAATGTATATTACGCATCTTTTCACAGTAAGACAATAATAAATTAAAGTCATGTTTAACGGTAAAGGGGAAACCGGGGCCCTGTTTCCTCTAATAAACTCTTCTACGTAAATTATGGTTTCGTAGTTCTCAAGTCACATCACACAAATCCATCAAATTGCTGATATAAAGCCAAATTAATAATTTGTTTTAATAAAAAAAAATTAATAATTTGTTTGTGGCTTTGTGCTTAACATAAGACTGATAACCCCCAAGAACGCCCACTGAAGCATATGATGGATTGGTGTGATGTGAAACCATGTAATCAATTTTGCTACACAGATTTTAACCATGTCAGTTCCACCACATTATTTTATTAATTATTCTTTTATTTTTATTTATTAATTTTAATTAAATTATCTTATTAATATGTTATTAAATAATTAATAATTTTTAATGCATCATTGGTGTAATTAACTCTTAAAAATACTACAAAAAAGGTTTGTTTTTGTTAGATTCCACATCCCAAGAATTGAGAATTGCAAATCCACCTATTTCCCATCCCATCTCATTACATTCCACAAAGGAAACATGGGAAGAGAAGAATATTCAAAAACATTCCATTTTTTTCCCTTCCCATCCCACAAATTAGACAAGACCAAAAAGTATAAAAATAAATAAACAACGAAACAAAACATATCATTCACAAAGGAAACTTCAATTTTTTATTTAGTTGGAAAAGCAGATCTGTATATCTGATTAAGGTTTGCGAATTGGGTCAAATCAGAAGATGCAGGTGGACTGGGTGACACTAGATCAGATCCTTTCTAATATATGTAGCAGAGTCCACATCTGCTGTTACCATGATCCCAGAAAAATCTACTATCTCCCAACAAAACACCTAACACACAGGCAACCTAATAAAAAAACAGACCACTGGGGTCTAGGCATCCAGCCCTATTCTGAATTTTCTGATCAAATTCTACTTTAAAGCCATTTGTTAAACATGCTCCGGAGTTGTGGTCTTATTGTGCAATTGTGCAGGTTGATCTGGGGTGCCCAGACTTTGAATTCAAGTTATCACATGCATGGGTAACATGGAAACTTTGTTGCCTCACCTGAAGTTGAATATGATCCTTGAACTTGAAGATAAAACAAAAGTAAATAAACAGAAAGAAAAGAAAGAAATAATGTGCACTCTATTAAATAAACAAAAGCAAAGGCACAAAAGAAATGTTACCAATTGTTTTTCCAACTTTTGACAGCAATTCCTTGTAATGTGTACATTAATTTCACAGTTGGGGCTGAAGAATGAATCCAGATTATGGACAATAACAACTCCTACTCCATGTTTAGCTTTGTATTTTGTCAAACTGTTAGCCCATTTATCAAATAAAACAGTTGTTCTCGTATAATATGTGTGCCCTGATGGCATTGAAACAGCGAATAGCCATTGGATTTTCAACAAATTAGCCAGTTTCTGCACACTCTCCTTGTTTCCCAAGATCAAGCAGCAGTTCTTGATTTCTTGGAATGGTGAGATCACATTTCAGTCGACTACATCACTACTGAAGAGCTTGAACTTTTTAGCATCAAGGATCAACTTCCTTATAGAGGAGAAGGAGCCCATGATTCCAACACCAGTGAAGACAACTATAATAGATATGTTGATCCAGAAGGTGAAGGATGTTTTTGGAGGTCTATGGGTCATGTTGAAGAGAAGCATGGGAAGTATAAAATCAAGAGGAATAAAACCGATAGCCCCTACTACTCCACTGATGTCACCAAAGAATGGCAGCATTGCTGCAAAAAATGCACAGAACACCATGTACAAGGTTCTCAGCAGTAGCCTCGGAATTAGGTTCCTCCTGGAGAACATCCCTTGATTCACATCGGCTGATTTTTTTTCCATGATTTCATACGCAACTTGAGAATAAACCTGCAGTCAAGTCATATATAGTTGAGGAATTATTACACCACTGGAAGTCTGCAACCTAGTAAGATTTTAAATTAAGGGAGGACAACACCAAGCAAGAAACTGGATCTTGACAACTTTGAAATAGATAAGAGTAATCAGGGCTGGTAAGACAATATTCTTGTTGTTTAAGAAATTAAACCCTGAACTTCAGCTTCTCAGAATACCATAAGAAGGTATTGTTTATAGGTTTACCAGACCAATGGCAAAGAGCTGAAAGAGAACAAAGATAACTGCGAGACCAAGAACCCATATTGGAGCCAACGAAGGCGCATCGTCTGGCATTAGGCTCTTGAGAATGTTTGAAATGGATTTACTTCCGAATGCCCAATATCCAGAAACAGCTATTGAGTAGAAGGTGACAAATGAAACTGCATAACACATAAGAAGCCCTTTCACCATTTTTCCTGTAGCTGGTGGAGCAACAGTGGCCTGTATGAATCACAATTTGCAAATGAAATTATGGTTGAAGAATTAAAAAAGAAATTGCCAGAATACAGAACTGGATGGGTGCGACTAGCTTCAGCAATTTTGTACTTATTAGAAGGATCTACCAAATAAATAAATAGCACGATCAAGTTGGTTATACAAACTTATATTAATTATTAATTCGTGTGTAATCAACCATACAACATGAAGCCTCCAAGGATGAGATTAATATGGTCAATTGAACTGTAAGTTCTCTGAAACTAACAGATTTAAAGGAAGTGATATTACTTGTATCTCTGGTAGGATTCCGTTCCCAAAGATGCCTGCCAAGATAGAAATGGATGTAAAAGCATTGAACGTTCTAGTTGATTTTGAAGCGTCCAAGGAGTAATCCTTTAAGGGGGCACGTTTGGAATGTCCTGCAGGCAAGAAATAAACTCAAATATTAAAATCACTTTCAGAGAATTCCCAACCAATTTAATTCGATTTTCTTTTGTCTTTAGGCATGGATGGAGCCCAGTCAACCCAACGCATTTCCAAGCCACGCCCCCTCTGCACGTAATTGCACTACTTGCAGCTCCTGACGGTCCAGCAGCTGGATTGGCCCAAAATTTTCAGAGGAGTACAGACCGAAGAGAGTAAGTCAGAGGCAAACTAAATTACCTAATCAGTAGATCCACTCCACTCAATAATTAAGGGATCGAGCTGCATGGAAATATAATAGGTAGCAGAGCTGCAGCCAAGCAGGCAAATAGGCAATAATAGTTCGCTGAAAATGCTGATCCTTACAATTGGATCATCGAGAGCTGTTCAACAGTTGTTTGAAATACCAGCCCACCCAGAATCCAGATTCATTTCTCGCAAATCAATACGCTTCTGTGTAACAATTATTTTCCTCTGGCCGTCAGCCGTCGGGATCTGTTAATGGGTAACCAGCAGATTCAAGGCCATCGGGGTGGGGCGGGGGGAGTGTTCCCTAATATGCATAATTTTGGGGTTGAATTGCTGATGTCAAGATTCAAGAAGAAAAACAAAACAAGTAATGAAATACAATTGAAATGAGAAAGAAAATAATGGTTTTCTTATCAAAACCTGCATAAATACATGCACCAACCACCAGAAAGGTGTAGCCCAAGCTTAGCAGAAGCGAGCCGAGGTTAATGTATCTGAGAGAATGGAAGGATGGAAGTTGAGAGAGAACTATCATGACCACTGCCACCATTGCTATGAACTCGTATAATTTCAACGGCCCATCTGGATAAAGATTCGAGTACATGATCTATCTTGTTCAAACAAAAGACTGTTAGAACTTCAAATAGAACATTGATCGAATTGAAATATACCCCTTGAATATAAGAATATAATTGATTCAAAGTTGATTCGTTTATATTTGGATTCAAATGATCAAATTTTATCTGAATATTTCGGATTCATATTGAATTCAGATTGCATTCAGATTGAATAGTACTAGTAAATTAAACTTTCATTACACACACACAATATTCAAACCAACTTTACTAAATGTATGATACCGAAAGATCCTTGACTAATCACTAATGAATTTTGACCAATACCACCTGATTCATTACCACTATGATACAGTTTTTTTTTAAAGCCTACTTATGGTACCGGTTGATTGGTTATAAGTTTTTAAGGTATTATAGTCGAACCCCAAAATTGGATACGACGGATCCATATTCCATCGAATTCAGATCACCCTTACCCAAATTGAACTAGAATTCGGCATTCAGATAAACAGATATATGACTATCTTTCTAAGCTATCAAGCTCTCCAAGGTCCAAACAAACACAACTCATCTTATAACCACCATATTACACAAGTTTGGATCAGGGTTTCCAAATCCCAGAACTACAGTTTTTATTTTATTACCAATAGAACTTCATTTATGGTTCATATTCGACCATATGGTGGTACACATCCCTCTTAAACACCATTAGACTGAGTGGCACTGAGCTTGTAACTTGTAAGTTGTATAACTGGGCTTACTATTATGCCTAACTGCCCGGGCCTGATACTTCACTTTTAGTCCATGGGAAGGGCCGGGGCCAGGCCTTAAGTAGCTTGAGCCAGACCAGGCCTAGCCCAAACTTCCTTATGTATAACAAATAGCGAATAGCAACATAGGACTATAGGAGGCAAGTAGGCAACATAACTAAGAATAACCTTAATAGAAAACTGCAACTGATTAAGTTGTAGCCATATACATTTTATAAGTTCAAAATATAAAAATTGCTTCACTTGTTTGCTTATATATTTTACTAATTATTTGAGATGGAACACCCTATAAAATCGAATGAGAAAATTTCATGTACCAAAAAGAAGACTTGGAAGACTTGTCATCCTATACTTTTTGGGGGAAAAACTTTAGCTGTTGGGGCCCAACAGTCTCTTCTGTTGAGAGAATTTTTAGGAATGCCACGTGATTCTGAGAATGAGTAAATTAGTAATTACATATTAATTTATTTTTACTAAATATCAAAGTATGGACGTGAATAGGTGAACTACGCAGAACATGCCCAGTCCGGAAACTGTCTCAACAGCCTATGCTGTTGGGTCCCAACAGCCAAAGTTAGTGGGTAGCGACACTTAGCCCCTGAATTTTCGTTTGCAACAAGGACTCACCCTGAACTTATTGCGTCACTTCGCACTTACCTTGTTAGCAAGCTCAACAATGAAGGTAAAATTAAAGCACCCCCCATTGAAGTTTGATAGGTTGAGAAAAATAATATCAAAATAACAAAAATAGGCATATTAAAGCACACTATCTTTTTTTGTATTTTTAGTTTTTTTATGTATTCCATTTTCTTCAGTGTTTTCCTCTTTTCTTCCATTTTTTGTTGTATTTCTTATATTTTTTTGCAGTTTTTTAATTTTTCTTGTATTTTATGAATTTTCTGTAAAATGTTTTCATAAAATGATACAAGGGCAGTTTGGGGTTTTTGAAATGTTTAAACATGCACATAATAGTCAGGGACCTAAGGACCTAAGTGTCACTACCCCCAAGGTACAAGGTGGCAATCTGTAATTTATCCTAAATTTTATCTAACTATTCATTTGGTTTGGCTAGGAACCTTTAATTTTTCACACTAAGGTTGTTCAATAAATAAAAATAAAAACAACAAAAAGACACTCCTAATGAATATACTTTTAAGCTGTGTTTGATTGTGGTGTAAATATCATTTGCACTTGTATAAATTCGTGGGATTGCAAAAGGTTTTAGTGTAAATTCTGTTTTACTTTTGCTTCAGATTTAACTTTATCTTATTTATTGGTAAGAAGTAATATAGGAAGCAAAATGAAGCTTTTACTTTAAATGAAAGAAAATGGAGGTAGAAGGGTAATCTGTCTAAGAATAAGAATAAGGTGGTATTTCGTTGGTGTGTTAGCTGGGTTGTCCCAGCATTGACATGGAATTAAATCCCGCAACCAGCACTTTGGGAAAAAAAGGGGGTACAGGGGAAAGGGGAAAGTTATTGTTGATTAATAAAAAAAAAGAGTAAGGTAGTATGCAAGATGAATGGTCTCCACTTTATATAAAAAAGAATTGAGATGGGAGGAAGGTGGTGTAAGTTTTGGATCAGTTTTACAAAAGTACAAACTTTGTATCAAATAGAAATGCAAATCATAGTTATAAAAAAACCAAAGCAAAACAGAACTAGGTACAAATTTTACACATAGTCAACGTTTCCACTACAACCAAAATAAGTTTAGTTTGTCTTGTTTTAAGATTTAAGACACAATGCTATTGAAAATAGGGATGCAACTTGGACAGGCTCAGGTTGGGCTTTTGTCAAAATTTGAATGGGCCTACCCGTAAGGCCCTGTCCTAAACCAGTGTAAAATGCTAACTAGGTCCACCCAAGTTGCACCAATGGTATATTAGTAAAATACTTAATTAGTCCCCCACCCCATATCATCACTTTTGGGGTTCTTAGAGAACTGTGTTTCATTGCGGGGTGGGGGAGGGGGGGAGGGTGCACGCAGCTTTCTCCTAGCGGGGACCCGTGCATGGGATTTATTAAGCGAAAGCTAAATAATAGAAATGGTCATTTACTAAAATACCCTTTTTAGTTTCATGGATTTACTAAGCACCCCTTCTCTATTATTTTAGTAAATAATATTTTTATTGATGATGAAAACCATGAAAATACCCCTTATAGTTTCATGGATTTACTAAAATAATAATGTGATTAACAAGAATTGTTTTTATTGATGATGAAAATGAAGTACATAATCTAAAACTAACCAAAAATGAAATTATTTTTCTGTTTGGTGGAGATCAATAGTTTAACTTCTGGGTCAAATGTATCAGTGTCATGATTAAATAATAAAATTAATAAAGTATAAAAACACTAAAACGAAAAAAAATACATAAATTTTACAGGAAAAACATTTAGGCACATGTATAATATCATACATATCATATTAAACAAAAGATAAGTATATATAACAGAATTATCTTTACACACAGAAATAAAAAATATAAAAAAAAAATTGAACACATCTACAGTTCTATATATATATACTACTTTTAAAAATATGAATAACTGAAACTTTCTTTTGATTGAAATACCCATTTTTTGAATTTAATCCCTATTTAATTGTGAGGTTTAAAATGTAATTTGAAGTACTACTTTTCACCTCATTTAATTTACTCTCTTTAAATCTTATATTCTTTTGATAAACAAACAAAAAATGATACACTAAGAAGATAAAATATTACAAAAAGAAGAGCCTAGCCAACCAAATAGACCTGTCACATCTACATCCGATTAATAATGAAAAACAAAAATATAAAAAAGTATATGAATTTAGTAAAAAATTTTTTGATACATTATTACTATCATTATTATCATCTAAAATTACCACGTGCAAAGCATGTGCACACTTATTTAGTTCATTAAGAAGTTACTTCAAATCAATTGTTAACAAATGAAACATGATTAGAAACAATTCAGCACAAGGCTTTCAATGCATTACATGGTGTGGGAGTCATTCGTTTTTATATGTTACAAATATGAATATTCTCAACTCTAACCTTTTTGTACCTGTTTCATAAGGCACTTGGGCAATAGTACGTAGATAATATTTTATAATATATTAACGCTTGTTAGTAATTAAAATTAACTAATCTCTAACATTTGGCATATCATTAACCATGAAAATCGATTTGTATATAACTATATATTGTGTTGTGCTTTGAATTTTTTTGTTGTATCCTGTTTCATGTCCCGAACAAGGTTCAAAGTATTTATACGTATCATGCCGGTGGCTTCCCAATATGCCCCTCCAAGGAGTGTATTGTGTCAGACTATGGTTCAGAGGGTAGCCGGGCCTTAAACCGACCCCTCTGAACCAGTTTTGAAAAATAAATAAAACCTAAAAAAAGTACCGATACAGGTCAATACGCCCTACTGGTGTATCGACCTATGTCAATACTTTGAACCTTGGTCTCAACCTATATTTGTGGTTAACAACCTAAAGGAAAATTTTCGAAGTGTTTTATGGTGAAAGTGTAGCCCCCGTGGTGGTTTGGAGCTGATTGATCCACATTCAGCTTCGGGTCTGACTTAAATATGTTATATTATGTTGTTGATGCTTTTCTTATTTATGCATCTTTCGGTTTGCACAATGAGTTTGAGCAAGTCTTTGAGAGAGAGTTCAAGTGTATTAGCCATTAGGTTTTGGGGTTTTTTGAGAGAGAATTTGTTCAATTTTGCATTCTTCTTAGTGGAGTTTTTGTTCCTCCTTCACCCGTACATATAGGCTTTAAGCCAAATCATATAAATCCATGTATGTATGCTCTGTTTTTGACTTCTTTTTATATCTGTTTTGCTTCATTTGTGGCATTTAAATTTGAGTTTTCTGATGTTTTTTGTTCTGGACTAATATCATTATAAGTCTACAAAAATACATATCAATACTATGAACCATGTATATCATTGCCCCATTTAATATAGGTTAGATGCCTGGGCCCAACTTACCATTAAGAAACAGAGCAATTCATAGTGCACTAAAACATCTCCACACAAATGTTAAAGTGCTCAGAGGAGAAAATAGCTTATGCAACAAATTTTCTAACTTCTGTAATTTTTCCACCATACATGCCCTTAATTTTCTTTATCTATTCATCTGAGTACCATCTGTCCATGTTTTTCCTCCCTCTCTGTTTTGAAACTTGGGGTTAGTTTGAAAAGAGTATAAATATAAATATGTATAGAATAAATACATACAAAATACAAGGTTTTGCACTCTATATATTTACATCTGTACTCCTCCCAAACTAAGCTTTGGGGAAAATGAGCATTGGCTCTGTTTGGGAAGAATGCAAATACAAACATATTTGCATTTTTATTGTACATATTTACATTTATACTTTTCTCAAATTGAGCCTTAAATTCAATATTGCATTAAAAAGAATTTAATCAGGACGGATTACCAACCATTCACGAAGAAAGAACACCAGCAAATGAATGAGAATAATATATATACCTGGAGGCACTCCCCCGCAAGCAGTATAGCACCGATTCCAACTCCAGTATTGATAGCCGTCTGAATAAAAATTACAAAATAAAACATCCACCCCGACCCTATAAAGGGCAAAAGAAAGCATATTAATAAGTAGATGATTTAAATTGGGTTTGGTATCATCGATGTTTCTACATGAGACGTTTTAGGTTTATCAATATTAAATGGCATATAATTATTAATTGAGGCTATATTTATGGTTGAAAAATGCATTTTGAGAGGTCTAATCATTTTAAATGAAGTAATTTTCACATGTGATATGACAATACATAATATCTTTGGTCAATTTATATTGATCAATCTAAAATGTTTCATGCATAAATAGCAATGGTATCAAACACAACCTTATTAAACATTGTACATGCCAGGGATGATCCCATTTTTTTTTTATATCAAGAGAAAAACAATTCCAATTTTCTTTGCTAGATGGTTAAACTTTAGTGCATTTGAAATGGTAGGTTTTGAAGCTTATCATTCAATGATATTTCATATTTTGATAATGTATTGTATATTTCGAAATATTGAGAGTTGAGATATAAATATTTCTGTCAACTTATATATATATTAAATCAATGTTTATCAAGTGTATCAATGTGTTTTGTGTTATAAGACACAAGATTTTAATATGTTCCAAAATCTATCTGAAACCAAATTCAACCAGCTCCCAAGGATGAGACAATTTAAAAGAATGCATGTTTGTCATGGAGCCATGGAATGTTCTGAACGGAATTTATGAAGTTTTCCATTAAATCAAGAACCTAGCTCCTGTTGTTATCTCTCCAAGCTTAATATACCTTTGTCGTCCCATCTTCCCTTCAGCGAAACCAAGCCAGAATTATGAAGGGCCAGGAAAACAAGGTTGATAAACTAATAGATCAAATAGAACCAATTATATATTCAATTGCTTTGTGTTTATGATAAACGCAAAGGTAGGGTTTACAAGTGGATGGCCATTCTATCATAACATTCGCATCTCCTCTTACAATGGTTAATTTCCTTTTAAATTTACCTACTTGTGCTTTTCTTTTGCCTCAATGCTTCTCCAACTCCAATGAATCTTATACATACAGTCGCTAATGGATTTGTTGACTGGATGTTTTGGTCGCGACGACGCGAGTGATGCAGAGAGGAGCCACTGCAAGTAACATTTTGCTACCTCGCAATTCTGGACTTGCGGGGACTGATTTCAGTAAAAAGAGGAGTTTTGTTTTTTCTTACAGCTCAGTTTGGAAGGAGTATAAATACAAATATATAGAATGCAAAACTTCATATTTTATATTATTTTGTATGTATTTATATTTATTCTGATTCCAAACTGAACCTCAACTCAATTTAAAGGTTTTGCACTCTATGAATTTGTATTTGTACTCCTTCCAAACTGAGTCTAATTAAAAGATTTGAACCAATCAAAAACCCCACATGAATTTGAATGAATAACAGTTGATGGGTGATAGATACTGGTTGGTTGGTTATCAACATTTTTGGTACAATTCCTTTTCAGTCGAAGCCTACACGTTTTTGTCGTGTGCAAACGAATATAGGTGCTGATGGCAAAATTCTTTTAATGATGGAATATGGATAATAGAGCCGCACCAACCATGTTATTAAGCTTTTCATGGTTAACATGGGTGAAAATGGTTATATAGTGTGTTTCCTAAGGCCGGGTTAGGTGGGGTTGACCGGCCCAACCCGAAATTGTGAACCCTCAACCCTGACCCTAACCCAGCCGGGCCAAACCTTAATTCCTCTTACAATTTCTCAAGTTCTCTTAATCTGGCTAAGAGACTTAAATTCAACTTGATTTGTCTACTTTTTTTTTTCATTAGCTGTCCTAATGAAAATAAAATCTATCGTCCATCATAATAGATATCCTACCAAAATTTCAAAATCATGAAATCAGCAATCATAGAACACGAAATGTAGAATAAAACCCACTAATAACAACTTGTCATTAGAATTATGGATTAAGAATTAAGACAAATGGATATGATAGTTTGTAGTGAGAATATAATAACAATACAAGAGCAGGCTCAAGGTCGGAAACAGTCAATTCAAGCCTTAACTCATTATCGACCTGACCTAATCCAGTGGGAATGGATAGAAACATTCCTCCTGACTTTTTCTTTGAGTCCGATTCACACGATCGATGTTAAATTAAGGGTCATTTAATAGAACACCCTTCTTGTTACATGAATTTATTTAAACTTACCCTCTACATTTTATGTACTAAAATACCCCTTATTATTAACAACCTATTTACTAATCAACCTTTTAGTAAGAAGTGTTTATTTTTTCTTCTAAAAATAGTAACATCATCAGCTAAACTGAATGGAAAATGTTCAAGGGCATGGGCCATGATTTTTATTCCAAAATTACCCCTAATATTTTTTCGTACAGAAAATAAAATTGACCAAATAGAGTAGTCACTTGTGTCTTATTAAGAGCAAAAATGGTCAAATCAGTTTCTTTTTACCTTCTTTTGATTAAATTTATTCAAATAGAGATTAGGCTGCGTTTTGTTGAAGTGCAATTTTATTTGCACTAGTACAAATGGATGGGAGTGCAAACAAAAAATTGCAAATTCCAGTTTAACTTTGTTTTGATTTATACTTTGTTCTACTATTTCATGTATTAATTAACTTCATTTGTACAACAATCAAACAAAATAAGCTAAAATTTGAAATAAAAATAGGTTAAAATTTACACTCATATCATTTGCACCACCATAGTTTTGCATCAATACAAATTTATTTGTATTAAAACCAAGCATAGCCTTACGGTCAAAACTGTCATTTTCCACTGTCATCAAATGGAAGGTCAATTAAGTAAAGTACACTGCAAACTATAGGATAAGTATCAATAAATCCATGAAACTATTGAACCCTTAGGAGGCCTTCTTTTTTTTTTTTTTTGAGAGGGGGGGAAGTTGGTCAATGAGATTTTGGTTCCCATTGACTAAGAATTCCATATTCATTTTCCAAGTGGTATCCATCCCCTAGGTGGATACATAATTTTTCCACCAGGAGAAAAGTTGTTAACACTTGAATGAGACAAAAATGCCCCTATTAAGTGTTACTTGAGAAATAAAAAACAATGCAGTTAAATTAAAGCCACCTCATCTATAAAATTACAACACTTTTCAAAAAAAAAGAGGATTTGTGAAACAGAAAAAGCATGAACGTGGAGAAACTTTGGGAAATTTCGGTCAATACACCTAACACCCCATGGGTGATGGAACCGAATCCCATCTCCTACAACTACAAACTACAATCATGGCATGTATAACGGACCAAGAGGAGACCGGATCTGCTCGACCAAGAGTAACAAACAGATCGTCGCTGGCGCATTCAGTAGTACTCTTGACTGGGTTAACGTAGCCCGTTTTACACGCCCATGTTTGTAGCACATAAAAGTGTATACCTAACCTGACCTGATATTTTGATTGTTAATTCATTATTCAAGGATATTAGCCAAATCCAATTAACTATATGCTGGCCCAGCCAATCAAGCCCATTCAGCTCTGCAGACTGTAATCTGCACCCACCAAATTCGTACTCCTAAGTCTAAGAGGTCGTCCAAACTTTCGAACTTTTCCCTTTCTTTCTCTGTAATTTGGGTGTTTCGATGATGATTCAGTTGAGAACATCAGATAGATGGTTCAGAGTTAAGAGTATTTTGTCTTTTGATCCCGAATTTAACTATGATAATATTAAAATAGGAGGCAAAGGTTTTGAGGAGGTTACCCACCGAGGACATCGGCGGCGAGCTCCCGGAATCTGATGTGGCGGCGACCCTCCTTCTCGCAGTGGTCGAGAACCTTGGACATGAGATAATAAGAGTAGAAGGTGACAACGGCCATCCCCGTCAGACAAAAGAACCCCATCGCCCATCCCAGTCCCCTGAAGGCGTAAGGCAGAGTCAGTATTGATGGCCCCACTATCGCCGTCGTCAGATGAAATCCGGCATGCCACCAATTCCCTGATTGTATTAAACAGTACCAGTAGCATGGCCAACAGAGAAACGATTGTTTATTTCTTTTAACAAAGAACTTGAGAAATTAAGCATTAATAATAAAACTGAGAGGGAGAGACTAGCTCAGTAGAAGGCACGGAGCCATGCAGCATGGTTCGGTTGTTACCTTTTGATTCTAAGACGAAAGCAGCTCCAGCGTCGTCTTCGCGATGATTCCCTGAAAATCTCGGAGGCTCTGCCATTGACAACAGAGAGAGCTTAAGCCGTTTGGAGGAGGCCTGTGAGAATGGAGAACACAGCAGCAGCAGCAGCTGCAACAGGGTTCCGGCAAAGGAAGGGAATTTACGAAACTCCGATCACTGGCCTTAGTGCTCACATCAAAGAGGCGTTAAAAGCAATATAAGCATTGCACGGCACTCCTTCCCAGTTCTCTCCCTTCACACAAGACAGGACCCAAGTCTGATGAGTGATGACTGATGAGTTAATGTAACGTGTATTAATTTAATGTGTATAATGTGTATCTTTCTAAAAAAACGTCTGATGAGTGACGAGTTCTAACGATACGGGATCTGCTGCTACCAAAAAGCGTAGAGATACGCTGAGAGCATACATCCAGCCGCACATCGGGTACATCTTCCGATGAATTCGGCGTACAAGTGCGGTTAAAGTTCCCGATGTAAGGCAGGGTGCCGTACTCTTGATCTATTGCTTGCAACTGATTCGGGCTCAATGTCAACAGACGGGACTCTTTACTGATTATTATTTACTATATCAGACCCACCAATCTGAACGGTCTGTCCAACTCCATCTCTTTCTTACGGTAGCGAGATTAATCACTCTAATGGCTATGGACAAATTAATAATTAGTCTGTGTTATCAGTAAAACTTATTAGCAAACTTTGCAAATGCAAGGCTGTCCTGAACATTTGGAATTTGGAGGGGATTTCATTTTCAACTTCGGGCATGTAAATCGAAAGTCAGACTCGCATCAACGGTTTTTTTCTTTTTTTTTTTTAATTTCGGGGTTAATTACTTAATCCTCCCTTTGTTTTGTGAATTTTATGGTAAATACTTAAAACCTCCTCTATACTTTTATTAACCACCCTTCACGAGGCCTGCCCTTCATCTTAATTATTTTTATTTCAATAAAATGTTTGGATAAAATACAAAAATCTCCTCTGAAGTTTCTGACAATCATAAAAACCTCTCCTATAAAAGCTCCTCTATAATTTCATTTTAACAAAAACCTTCTCTCTATTTTTGAAAAATTCAACAAATACCTCCCTTCCATCAATGACCAGCTCGAACACTGTTCATCTTCTTCCTCACACACATTGCAGTAGAATGGCGGTGCACTCCCCCCTCCAAAATATTACAATAGACCTCTCCATCAAGACACTCCGCTTACCTCCTCACAACAAGAAGAGATTCATCAAAATCTAAAAAGGCCTCCCCTATTACCTTTTGAAAAGGACACTGGCGTCATTGATTCTCGGAGACTAAAGTCCAAAGAAATCACTTTTAGGTACATGTCCCCTTCCACTTCCACCTCTTCTATTTCCTCCTATTCTTCTAGACGATGCCCACCTCCTCTTGTTTTGAGGCCCACTACCTCGACAACCGCTTCAACACTTTTGTTGTCCTTGAACAAACGGTCTCAGTCTGCCGAGTGGAGGCGTCCAGTCGCCCCTCAACCCACCACGCCACTTGCCTGATTCGACGAGGACGGGCAATGCTGCCGAAGTTTCAGTAGCTTTAAAAATGTTGTTCACTTCTACGCGGAGTTTATCAGTTCCGTTTCATATGGGGAATCGTTCTTACTTCCGATTAGTAAGATGAAGGCCGCTCCAACGCCCAATTTGAGTAATACAAGAAAGGCTACATTGGAGCAAAGGAGGACAATGCCATTGAGAGGGAAGATTGATGGTCCTAGAGGAATAGATCAGATGGAGAACTCAAAACCCATTGATCAGCAACGTTGGCCAGACAGAACTAGAATGGCGAATCCTTTAACAAGAAGTTTAGATTACACTATTGACAAGAAAAAACTCATTGGATCTAGAACTGTGGTTCGTGCATTGCAGCAATCAATGATTGATGAAGGTAGGAGGGCATCGTTTGATGGTAGATTACATCGGGATTCAAGCATTGCCGACTTTGTAAAGACTGCTTAGCATGCAATGGATGCCAATTCCACAAACCTCCCATTGAGGTTTGTAACCACAGGTTTTTTTTTCAAAATTACAGGAGGGTTTGTTAAATTAAAATCATAGTTCATTCTTTTCTCGGCAATCTTTCTCCGACTCTTCTTTTGTTTTCATTCCAATGTTCTACTTCCAGCTGAATCTGGTCCTTTAAGACCTTGAGTTGATTCTTTTTTTAGGAAGTGAACAGAGGTGCATTCTTGGTCTTGAATTTTCTCTTTTGATTTGTCTGGCAGAAATTTGTTTTTTTGAGAGTTTGGTCTAGGGTCCTTGCATCCCCTATTTTTTCCCTTGCAAAGTTTGTATTATATAGATGAGTTGCTTTTCTTGTACGAATCCTCAGGGAAAGGGCATAAGAAAAATTGAAGACAGTAACAATGTTCAATCTCGCTATCGCCATTTCTGTAGTTCTTCAGGTCGCTCTTATTCCTTCATTTCTCTTTGTCGATTCAAACCTTCTGTTGATCTCCTTACCACTGCTTTGGCTTACAAAAACTAGTTTGTAATGGATGCCAATTCCAAAAACGGGTCATTAGTTCCCTCCGGTCTCACTACATCTGATACTGAGAGTGGCTCCTCTGGCAGAACTTCTGGAGTACAAGAGTGCAACGGGGTTTCTCAAGCTTGGATTGGGCCTCATGGAATCAGTGTCCCTACTAGGTTTTGGCAGGAAACAAATAGCCGGTTGCGACATTTAAAAGACCCTAGTTTGCCATTGTCAACGAACACTAGTTCAAGGATGACTGCTCCACCAAAACTTATTTCATCCAAGAAACCATTGAGTTTAAGCAATGGTCCCATATCATCTCCTCAGATTATCTCCACTATCGGTAATAGGACGTTGTCAGATATTGGTAGGTTGCACCATCTTTTGTGATGAGGAGGAACAAAGTGGCTCGTGGGGAAGCCTCGGATAGAGAAAAAAAGAAGAGGGAGAGCAAGAGGAGACGTGGAGATGCCATTGAATATTGAAGAATGATAGAGAGAAAGTGGAATGATGAATAGTGCTATTTCATGTTGGTAGAGAGAGAGAGAGAGAATCAAAGGAAAATTCAAGAAGATGAAAGGTTGGAGGGGGGAGTGCACCACCATTCTGTCATTGTGCGTCGTGAGGAAGAAGGTGAACATTGTTCCAAATGTACATTAATTCATAAAAGGGTAAAATAGGTATTTTGAAAAAATATCATCTCTTTAATGTTTTCCGTCTTGATCATTAACAGAAGGGAGGTATTTGTTGAATTTTTCAAAAATAAAGGGAGGCTTTGTTAAAATGAAACTATAAGGGAGGTTTTTATGATTGTCAAAAACTTCAGGGGAGGTTTTTATATTTTACCCAAAATGTTAATATAATGCTTTTATTTAAATTTTCATTTTTTCCCACGAGGAATTTTATTATTTTATTAGATTAAAGACCAAAGTTTAAGGAAATGGACCATGGGATTGGGCATCAAACCATAAAAGAGAGACATTCGTGGGTAAGAAGTTCAATCAAGGTTTAATCAGATGTTGAACTATGATCACATAATAAATATAAAATACTATCATTTAACATGTAATAATTGTATAATATATAATATGTAATCTGCATAGTTACAATATATATTATAATATTAATTATATATATTCAAAATATATAATTATATTTTAATTTTAGTTTTAGTTTTTATACTAAAAATAAGATTTGAGACCAAAAAGGCTTTTTTATTTGAAAAAAAAATAAATAGGTAAGCAAAGTTATGGCTTAAAAAAATCACTCAATATGGAGCACAAAGTTAAAAGAAGGGTAAATATACCTTGACTTAAATTAACGTAAATATACCCAGAGTTTTTAAAATAGATTATTTTACCCTTAAGATGCAGTTACGGTTGAGATGTTGACATCAAAAACACCACCAAAACGACACAAATGGCTCCCAGCGTTGGTTTCAGATAGATATCTGATTCAACTACCACTCAACAAGCCACTAAGAAGTTACAGTACATTATTACATCTGGTGTGTTAATGTTTCAAAGACCTATATGGTGTATGGGATATTGGACAATGGGATCACGCGCATTTCAAAGACCCATCATCAAAGGCTAATTCAAACACTGATCTTGGATGGCCATGGTTGTCTTGTTCTCTACGAACCAAGAGCTCGACAGTAAGAGTGTCAATACATCGGTTTTTTGATCGAATCTCATTCAGTTTAAAATCAATTTGGATGGATTGGACGGACCAACAATATATATTGGATTAGACCAATCCGGTCTAAAATATTTGTTAGATTGGATTGGACCCGATTCATCCGTAACAAATTTATATTGGATTAGATTGGATTAAGCCAATATCTGGCCCATTGATATAAGATAAGAATATATGTATCAATAGACCGGATTTGGGTTGAAACCAATCTAAATCAAAATGAATTTGAATAGATTGGATGGTCCATACATTAAATTGGACTGGTCCAAATTGATCCAAAACATTCATTGGATTGGATTGAACCTAGTCCATTTATAATAAATTCAGATTGCACTGGATCGGATTGGACCAAATCCAATCCAATTGACACCCCTACTCGACAGATCCTCCATCACTCTGGACGAGCAGAGTACATGAAGGAGTGAAATTAAAGTCAGCTAGCTATCCCCCTTCTCAAAAGTCCAGCAAAGAATAGTAGTTTCTGCAACTCTAATGTTTGATCACAAGAAGTAGAGAAGTGAAAGCTATGAGTTTATAAAGCCAAAGCTTCGACCATTTCCCTAAACCATCTCAATACACCATATGTTATATATAGAGAGAGAAATTGATTAAGGATATGGTACATATGGTCTATATCACCAGTCACAACAAATTTCACTTTTCCTTGTAACGAATAGATAATTATCTTTTCTTCTCCCTTTGCTCTCTTGCTCTTGTTGGAAGAAGAGGAATGTCATTGGCAGAACGATCACACCGAAAATTGGAAGGCAAAATAGAATTAAAAAAAAAAAAATTATGAGTTCTTATGTGATATTTCACGAATGGAGGGTATGATTAAGTTTAATGGGGTCAGCCCACCAGTTATGTCTTATGTATAAGTCTATTTAAAAAACTCAAGGTATGTTTAAGTCAATTTCTAAAAAGCCAGAGCATGTATTTTACTCTAAAAAAATGAAAACTGGCTGGTTTTATAAAATGGGAAGTAAACATGTATTTTATCCATATAAATACATATATCGGTCGGTTAAATTAACCACCGGTTTTTTCTAAGATAACCAAAAATCGAA